CGCACCTGCACTTGCACTTGCACTTGCATTTGCACCTGCCGCTCGCCTTCCTGCCTGCGCGACTGCCATCTGCCGTCGGTGGGACCTGCCGTGCTTGTGCTATATATCCCACGTGCAGCGCCTCGGCCCCTCCGCTTCCCTCGTCGAACCACCCTCATCCCATCGCCAAACATCACCCGACTTCTCTCTTTCCTCTTCCTTTCCTTCCCGTCAACTCATGACGAAACGACTCTTCCGGAACACAACGTCTCCTGCAGCTCAGACCGACTTTCTCCGATTCTCGCCCGTGCTCAGCACTTTCTTTTTCCTTTCCGCCCGCAGCGCAGCTTAAAGACATCCACCCGCCGACACAGCGAACACGAGTAACGCCGCTCATCTTCTCTTCAATCCGTCACCTCGCACCACTACTGCACGCCGCGCGGCAGAAGACTACCATCCCACTCCCTCACGGCACAATAGATACACCGCCGACCGCCCTGCACACACCAACACATTGCCATGTCCTCCGACAACTCTCCCAACGGCCCCGGTGGAGGCGGCCCTCCTCCCCACCGTCGCAGCTCCATCACGCAAGCCGCCCTCTCCAACCTCTTTCAACGGGGCCCTTCCAACGGTTCCAACGGCTCCTCCTTCTCCGGCGGCGGATCCTTCAATGATCCTCAGAGGCGGCGGCTTTCCGTCACAACCATCGGCCTCTCAGGCACCTCGCCCACCAACACGTCTGCCTTCGTGCGAAGGGGCAGCATGTCCACCAACTCCGACTCCATCGACGAGAGCGCAATTGAGGAAGAGGACATGCCCGGCGGTGGTGCTCGGACCGCCCCCAACACGCCCTTCGTTCGCCGCATGAGTTTCGGTCAGCCAGCCATGAGGGGATACCGACCAGGCGGCAGCCCTGGCAATGGTAATAACCCAACCTCTCCCCCGTCCTCGCTCGGTCGCTCTCCCAGCGGGCACAGGCCATCGCAGGGGCAGGGCTCCTCCGTCGCCGCCGCCCTCTCCGCGGCCGGACGACGGGCCAGCACTGCCATGCCGCCTGCTGCCGCGCCACAGGCAAGCAGCACCAAGCATCCAAGAGTCTCTTCTGACAATGTCCCTTCTCGCGCAGACCAGCAGGGCTTCAACTGGTCCGAACAGCTTAGGTCTCGTGCCGAGAGCTCCGTCACCGGCGCTCGCCCCTCCTTCTCACTCGCCTCTTCCCCTCCAAGAGGCTTCCCAAACCACGACCGCGCAAAGTCCGTGTCGGACATGCCAATGCCGCAGCCCCCTGCCCAAGCAGCAGCCGTCAAGCCGAAGCAGGAACCCCGAAAGCCGGACGCCTTCCAGGAGCGGATACTCAAGGGTGACTTTTACATGGACTAAGTACCCCAGGACTCCAGGAGTCAGCTGGGGCAATTGGTCCCAGGCGGCCCCTGTCGCAGCGATTTGGGGTCCGCGACTGGACCCGACGACGTCATAGGCCGCCGAAGGGGAACCACAGAGGACCGCTGACTGTTTGCACGCGGACGGTCATGTAATCGGCCGCTTGATGAGGTTGTACAGCGTTTTTTGCATTGGCTCGAGGTGCTTGCATAGTCTGCGTACCCGAGCCTGTATCGCTTGCATTTTAGGGGACAAGGCGACTTTTGGCGTGGTTTTTGCCACGGTGGCTCTCAAAATCACCCGACTCGCGTTGGTCGGCACCTCTCAACATGGATGAAAAGACACTTTTTGCGAGCGCTCGGAGACGGCACAACCAAGAAAACGGGACCATGCACGATTTTCAAGGGGATTTCCAACGACAAATTGCGACGAATGTTCAGTTCAAGGCAAGCGATGACGACAGCCGATTTTGGAGGCTGAGGCGCACAAGGCTCTTGCTCATGTACTATGTAGCTGGCTTGATGCTTTTGGACGTGGCGGAAACGACGGGCGTGGGAAGCGGCACACAATTCTGCACAGACGCCTAGCGGGCAGAGGAAGACTGACTGGTCGCAGACGTGTGCAATGTACTTGACACTGTTGTTGACACTTGCTTGCGAAGGCGGTCCAGAGGCGGACACGAAGCAATGGAGAGGCCGGGACCTCTGCCGTTCGTTATGAGCGAGCCCAAGAGGCATGGGCACGCGTGTAAACTGGAACTTAGGCAATGCAAGTGATTCGGATGCTCAACGGCGATTGCGGCTTCAGTGCGTGTTGCTGTTGTGAGCCAAGGTTGTGGAGTGCGCATTCTGTAGCGCCTCGGCCTTTTGGGTGCTCGGCTCTCGGTCGGCGCACTCTGGAGGTATCCGCTTATACGAAGTACGACAGGATTAGCAATTTGACGTATTACTGTATTTCTTTTTGCAGGACTTGACCTCTACTATTTGCAAGGGAGCCACCCGACACCAGGGCCATTGCTGAGGATTCTCAGCCGCACGTGGAATGGGCGCATGGGCGACGAGTGCGGGCGGCGTGGGCACACGTGAAGCAAGACTGGTTCGACAGGCACGTACAGGTAGAGAGGTTCGAAGGACAGGAGAGGCACGTTGTTAGGAACATGGGAGACTCGGGTTAATCTATGGAAGCGGCCGCAGAGGCCCATGCAGCCTGCAAATAGTACTGTCAAGTAATCCTCATTGAATTGGCCCGACTGCTGCGCGACAAAGGCCGACGGCTCAGCCACGCACCACGACGACGCCTTGGGGCAGGACAGCAGCATCACCACAAAGACAACCACACCAGGCGACCTCGCCCTGCACGGAAAGCGCGTCAAGTGGCCACCTCCCCTCATGCTGCTCTTTCGAGTGCTCAATTGATCAAATCGGGAGAAAGAAAAGGGAACACGGACGTCGATACCGGCTGTTGTCGAACAAGTGCCGTGGGCGGCTTACTTAAGCGCGGTACTTTCCTTCGACTTCAGGTGACGCCTCACTGCAGCTGTCGCTACGACCCTCACCACCATCACCACGACTACCCAAAACCCACCGAGCTCGGCCCAGCTCAGCCCAGCGGCCCGACTGGAGACCTTCTCGACAGAGGTCTCCGTGCGTCTGTCTCTCCCCTCTCCCCGGACAGAGGCGAGATCCCCGGCCGTGCACCCCGACAGACCAGCCCGCGATCCAGCCCGCCAGAAGGAGGGCGGGGACGCCGATGAGACACGGCCGCGCGCGCGCGGTGCGCTCCAGGGACCCGGATCCACGCCTGCCCGGCGACCGAGCCGGCGACGGTGACGGCAGCGGCCACGACCACCGCGGGAAACGGCAAGGGCGCGGGCCGGGAAATGGCCTCGCCCGGTGACATGGCGGGGGCGGCGCGCCCGGCGCAGAGGAACCCGTCGATGGCTTCCCAGGGAGCAGAGTCCGAGGACAGCAGCGCTGAGAGCACGGCGACGACGACGACGCGAGGCACGCCCAACGAAGACGATGTCCACGACCAACAGCGACCGCCGCCGCTACCGCCACAGCAGCAATCGCAGCACGCACCCCAACAACCACCAACTCAGCAGCAGCAACAGCAGCATGGCGAGGGCACCGCCCCCGCCGCCTCCGCCGAAGAGGCCAAAAAGGCGCGCGCCTGCGAGGCCTGCCGCGGTCTCAAGGTCCGCTGCGAGCCCGACCCGGGCAACGAGGACGGGCCGTGCAAGCGCTGCCGCAAGGCCGGCCGGAGCTGCGTCGTCACCGCCCCGACGCGCAAGCGGCAGAAGAAGACGGACAGCCGGGTGTCGGAGCTCGAGAAGAAGATTGACGCCCTGACGGCGAGCCTGCAGGCGCGCGCCGCCGGAGGGACGACGGCAGGGCCAGGTCCCGGCGCCGTTGGCACCACCGGTTCGCTTGCGCAAGCGCACCAGTACCAACAGGCGCAGCAGCAGCCAACGGCGCCGGCGCCCGTGGATAGACCTGCGGGCGATGCGCTCGCCACGATATGGGGCAACGGAGCTAGCGGCGGGCTGGCACGAAGCTGGTCCGCCGACTCACAGCCGAAACCGCCTCCGCCTCCGCAGCAGCAGCAACAATCGCGATATCAGCCCCATCGACCCTCAGTATTCGACGAACCCTTGGTTACGGCAGGCCAGAAGCGCAAGGCGTCGTCTCCCTCTGACCATCGGGAAGGCTCCAGCGATGACACCGCCAGCGCCAACGCAGGGAGCGGGAGCGGCGCCGGCGCGTGGGCGTCGCTCGCGCCCCGGTCCACCGAGGGCGACATTGTCGACCGCGGCCTGATATCCATGGAAAAGGCGGCCGAGCTCTTTTCGCGCTACAAGGAGTCCATGATCCGCCACCTCCCGGCCGTCGTCTTCCCGCCGCGCATGTCCGTCATGGAGCTGCGCCGCACCAAGCCGTACCTGTTCCTCGCCGTCATGGCCGCCGCCTCGTCCGAGATGCACGGCCTGCAGCGCGTGCTGCACAAGGACCTGATGCTCCTCTTCGCCCACAAAATCGTTGTCGCTGGCGAGAAGAACCTCGAGCTCGTCCAGGCCCTGCACGTTGCCGTCATATGGTACTGGCCGCCCGAACACTTTGAGGAGCTCAAGTTCTACCAGCTCGTCCACATGGCCGCCGTCATGGCCCTCGACATCGGCCTCGGCAAGAAGGCGCCTCCGCGGCGGAGCGTCCCGCCCTTCAGCTGGCGCGAGCACCAGTTCCGCCGCCAGCCCCAGCCCGACCCGACGAGCATCGAGTGCCGCCGCGCCTGGCTCACCTGCCACTACCTCGCGGCCAACACCTCCATCGCCCTGCACCGCCCGAACCTCGTCCGCTGGTCGCCCTTCATGACCGAGTGCGTCGAGGTGCTGGAGACTTCGCCCGACGCGGCGCCCACGGACAAGTACCTCTGCCATCTCGTCTGGACGCACCGCATGGGCGAGGAGATTGGCATCCAGTTCTCCATGGACGACCCGGCAACCACCGTCAACATCCTCGACGCGAGGACCCAGTATGCGTTGCGCGTGCTGGAGCGGGACCTGGACAGGTATCGCGACAGCGTGCCGAAGGAGATGATGCAGCGTAAGCACCCACAGACCTTTTATCCCTTTGCCGTGTACACTTCTCCGTTGCTAACATCTCTTGCAGCGACGCTCAAAATCAGCTTCCACCTGCTCAGCCTCTACATGCATGAGCTTGTGCTCCACACCCAAACCCCGACGGACGGCTTCCGCCCCCCTTTCAACACCGAGGTCATCAAGGACGGCATGTTGGACTCGGAGACGCTCTCGGCGGCCCACATCAACGCCCTCTCGGCGTGCCTGATCGCCGTTGACGGCATCTTCAGCACGTTCCTGGGCATGGACGTGCTGAACATCCGCTGCCTGCCCGTCTTCACCTTTGTCCGCGTCGCCTACGGCGTCGTCGTCCTCATGAAGATGTACTTCTCCGCCTCGAACCCCCAGTCGGAGCTCGGCAAGGTCATCAACAAGGACAACATGCGCGTCGAGTTCTACCTCGACGCCCTGCTCGAGAAGTTTCGCGTCACCGCCGCAGACGACAGGTGCCGGCCCGCCGCCAAGTTTCTCATCGTCCTCGCCATGCTTAGGAGCTGGTTCCTCAAGCAGGGCAAGGCTGAGGGCGCGGGCCCGGCAGCCGCTGCCGTGGGCACTCCCGCCCCGAGTAGCCGGACCGGTGCTGGAGGCGGCGGCGGCGATGGGCCCGGCTCCTCGTCGAGGACCAGCCTCACTCCCCCCGAGGCACCGCTCATCCCGCCGCCGAGGCATGGCATGAACACGCCGCTCCAGGTCCTCTCCGAGGTCGCCATGGGCCGCGAGGCCAACACCGCCAGCACTGGTCCGTCTCGCCAGGGCATGATGAACCACCTCCCCAACATGCGCCAGACCCCGCAGCCTCTCTTCCACGACACCGTACCCGGCGTGGGCACCCCCACCGTCGCCAACGCCAGCACCGACCAGCAGTCCGCCGACCCGACCGACTCGGCCGCCTCCTCGTCCATGGGGACCGTCACCACGGCGGCGCCGCAGCAGCCGCCGCAATACCCGCCGCCGTGGATGGGTCCGCATCAGCACCAGCACCAGCAGCAGGGTGGCCCCACGCCTCTGCCCGGCCCGGACATGATGGACCTCAGCGCGGGGCTGCCGCCTGGGGTTGATCTCGAGAACCTGGGCTTCAACATGGACCCCAACGACATACTCTTCGAGGGGGGTGCCGCGAGGATCATGAACGAGCCGTGGTTCAACGATGTGTTTCAGGGGCTGCCGGATCCCAACTTTTTCCAGTTTTAAACCCGCGCCACGTGAGGCGAAATCCGCTCCCTTCTTCTGCCCTTCATCCTCTCCAACTCTTCCCTCCTCCTACTCAACCCTTTCACTCCGCTGGTGGCGACAGTGACTTGTATATATACCTGCCCTGGCGGAACCGGTCAACAGCTTCAACTAGAAGCAAACTGAGAAGGTTCGGAGGACTCGAGCAAGGGGAAAGTCCCTGCGAGGATAGGATGGGGAAGTACGCTCGAGTGGCTTTCTCTGCAGGGCCGCAACCTTGTGATGACGGTGTTTGGAGCCGCCAGAAGGACGAGTGGGCGCAACACCTCTACTCTTACATCATCGAAACTGTGGTCCATTGCAGGGGGCCGGAGGGGGCGATCATTGGTGTTTTCTGCGGCGGCGGCGCCTGCCCTGGGCTAGATGGGCGCGATGTTCGGCGTTTTTGGGTGTGCCTCTTTTGCCTCTCTGTACCACCACAACTAGCTATGCCGCCTCTGCGGCTGTGACAACAGTTAACGAATGATACCACTCGAATCGAATCTACGGAGAAGGTCCCAGGCTGGCATGATTGTGCGTTGTGCGTTGCGTGTGCAGTTGGTTGTCCTTGAGATCTGATCTGTGAGAGGCAGGAAAGGCAACAAGGCATGATGATATGTCCGACCGGTTCGACCTGTTGGTCGACCTGTTCAAACGGCGCACTGACAGTAAAGCAGGCTAAGATATAAGCTCTACAGTATATCTCACTCTACCAAGTACAATCCCCCAACTCATGGCTGTGTCGGCAGCACGATATATAGCAGAAGGTCGTCACTACAAGCAGCGGCAGCAGAGTATCAATAACCACGGGCACACCAAGTCACCGGTACTTAAAACGCCAAGTCACATTTTCTCATAGCCGTCAGCGAAACTCCATTAACCCAAGGCAACATCACGTCGCCGTCTTTCTTTCAATTCTCGTGTTCGGTATAGAGAAAGTAGTAGTAACTCGGTAGCCCGCCAGTCAGTCCAGCCAGTCAGCCAGTCCAGTCAGGCAGGCAGGCGACTGGCCCTCGCTCGCCCATTAAACGATATCTCAACGCCTCGCTTATCACTGCGTCTCTGTGTCTCTGTCTCTGTGTCTCTCTCTGTCTGTGTCTGCCTCGGTCTGTCCTGTCTGCAGGTGCTGCTTCTTCTTCATCCAGCGTTTCCCTTCCCAGACCAGATCAGACCAGTCGTTCATCAATCCATCCAACGTTGCCCCGTAGCAGCATTATGAAAGAAACGCGAAAAAGTGTCGCAAAAGAACAAAAGCGGCACAGTGAACCAATCCGGGTATTACCAACTTGCAGCCGCCAAGACGAACCTGACAAGTGCATTTGCAAACGCGTCCCCCTCGGTTGCCAGCATCTCGCAAGGTATGCCTGCCTGTGTGCCGGCTGTGATGCCCTAGCACTCGGCAACTGTGGCAACAAAAGCATCAGATCCAACCGACCGCGGTCGTCATCCGACGACCCAAACGTGGCTTGCCAGATCTCCCATCCCCTCCAGAACCAAACCAAAACTAGTCATTGCCCTCTCCAGGAGCGCCAGATGCCGCCGGAACATGGTCGTGTAGTATGCTGCAGGCATGTGAGGAAAGAAAGAAAGAAAATGCAGCAGAAACAGTGGTATCATGGCTTCTTTCCCCACCAACGGGTATGTCCTGTCGTAAAAATCGAAAAACGGGTCCCGTCTACTCTATGTCTTAGAACCGTGCCTCTTCGCGAAGTCGGCTCTTGGATCCCTGGTGCTGGAGGCCGCCTATGCCGCCCATATAGACCAAGCTCTCCCGTCGCTTTGCGTTCGTGTTGGAACTATGAGGCTGCTCTAGTGACTGCGAGCTGCCCGCCCCGTGCTCGTCGTTGATGCTAGGGTATATCGGTCGGTCGTATCCCGGAGCCCCGCGAGGCGTCGGGTGATAGCCAGACCCGTCAGACCCGGTGGGAACGCCGTATACGCTCTCATAAGCCGGTCGAGAGGATGCAGCGGGTATTGTGCTGTACTGTACTTGGGGGCCCATATCGTACTGCGAGCGGATGTTGCCGAGCGGTGGTGTCGGTGAGCCCCTCGCCGTCTGCAGGTTCTGCAGCAGCGGCGGCGTCGGCGTCTGCCTCGCGTGGTCCCTCATCGACTCCATGCGCGGCTGACGGTGCGGCGAGGCGCTGCCCGACGATGTTGACGGCCGCGCCGGCGGGTCGAAGCGCGGCGGACCGTCTGCTCGCCCTTGTTGCGAGTCGGACTCGGGCGTCGGCGACGGCAGCTCATAGTGCTCCGGGTCGACGCCAAAGATGGCCTCGTAGTTCTGCAGGAACATGGCAAACACCGGCGCCGGTATGTTCAACGTGGGCGAAAAGACGATGCCCACGTTGCGCACGTTCATCTTGTTCATGTCCGCATTGTTGATGATCTTGATGAGGAATGAAATCAGGTACTTGAGCAGGGTCGCGTTTGCTTGCGGCAGCCTCCGCGCAAGCTCGGCCAGCGTCGCAATCTTCTCCTTGCGGTCTGCGATCTCGGTAGTCGCCAAGAACTCGAGGTGGAGGTCTCTGGTGAGAATCGTCGTGGGCAGCTCGCGGAGATAGAGCTTGAGCAGCGACGCCACGGCGTGGATGTCGTGGTAGTGCTCGTCCGTCACCAGGTTGATGTCGCCTTCGTTGTTGAACCGCTCTCGGAGTTGCTTGATGACCACGTTGGAGCCGCTGAGGCGGAAAATGCCCTCCTCGAGGATGGCATCCTTGTGGTCCAGGTACTGGATGCATCGGAAGACGACAGAGGGAAGCGGCACGTTGACGTCCACCGGCGGGTTGTAGCGGACCGCCTCGGCCAGCGGCGCCCCGAACACCTGGCGAACGGGGCCGTGATATGAGCCCTGGGGTGGCGTCGCCGCCGAGCCGGCCTCGCTGCCGCCGAACAGCGAGTCCTGGCCGTCCGACGAGGATCGAGTCTTGGGGCCAAAGCCAAAGAAGCTTCGCTTCCTAGCCTTCTTCTCGTCGTTGGTCGGGATCGACAGTCCCGACTTATTGCCCCAAGCCGCCGAGTCGGAGATGACCTGTGGATCTTTTGGCGCCGAGATGATCTTGTTCGACTGGGAGCTCATCGTCTCTACCGCAAGGTTGTGGGAGCTGTAGTGCTCGGGAAGACCAGTCGCGGACTTGGGCCCTCCCGGCACGCTCTGAGGCGCCTCCCCGGCGTGCGTGGTGTCGTACCGCACGCCAATCAACGTATCCGAGTCAGCTTGGTGGTGGTTGGATCGGTTCTGGCTGCTCTTCTTTGACTTGGCGCCGTTCGGGTGCTCATGTCCGGATCCCTGGCGATCATGGGCGACGGCGCCTTTGGGCGTCTTCACTTCGGGGTCGTCGGGGTCTCGATAGTCGATCCATTGCAGCAGGACGTCTACCCATGAGTCCCGCTCCTTGTCGCTCTCCGCGCACAGCACATGCTTAACGTGGCTGTGCGAGTCCTTCTTCTTCGGCTCTAGAATAAGGAAGGCATGGCGATACTGATTGTCGAGCTCCTCGCCGTTCTGCGGCCGCGCCGGCGATTGCACTTCGTTGCTGGCTTGGGACTGCTTCCCGATCTGGGCGTTCTGAAGCTTGATGGTGCCCAAGTGAGCACCGCCTGGCGTCTCGTAGTACTTGAGGTGAGGCCCCTCGATGATGAAGAACCTGGCTTTCCACCCTCCAAAGTTCTTTCCCTTCTTGGTAAGGTAGCCACTCCGGACGGGGCGACCGTCGGCGCCGATCTTGAAGCTGCCCGTCTCCGGGCTTCCTCTGAGCGCCGAGCCTGTCTCATCCGCGTTGGGCGGTAGTGTGTTGCTGGACAGGTACTTGCACAACTCCACCGCCGTCGCCGCGTCCAGCGGTGTGTCCAGCAGCTCGTCCAGATACTGCTCCAGCGCCACTCGACGCGCGTCCAACTTTGCCGGGGCATGTCCGCTGAACAGTGACCGGTCTGGCGTCTTGGCCGTGACTGCCGGACACTGCTTCAGGCGCTGGTCGAGCTTGCTCAGAGACGCAATATCCTTCTCGACACGCCAGAGCTCTCCACCGTCCGCGCGAGAGGCGATGGCGAGGGTAAAGACCGGATCCTCTTCCAGTTGCGTCAGGGATATCAGGCTGGCCCTCGACGGCTTCATGCGAGACGACGCGACCTTGACCTGGATGGAGGGCAGCGCATTAGGCGGCAGCAAGAGGTCGGGAAACTCATCCGTGACGAGTCCGCGGAAGATCTTGGTGCGTTCGGCGGCCAGCACTCGGCCTCTGCTGACGTCTGTCCCATCACCAGTTCGCGTGCCCGCGTTGGTGACTTGAGTGGACGACGAGCTGCCGGAAATGGCAGGAGACACAAGGGGTGTGTTCGGTGGCAATGGAATCATCTGACGGGGTGGTCGAGGGGACAACGCTCCCCCTGATGCCGAGTTTCCGGACCTGGGCGACAAGGGAGCAGCGGGAGCTGCAGTGTTTGAGACGTTACCGAATGGCCTCGGGCTGGCTGGGAGCCCCGGGCTTCTGAGAGGGGGTGCTAGCTCAGCCTTGTGGTCGCCGTGAAGCATCGCGTCCAACGAAGGGGGTTCATCCCCGTGGGCTTGCCCGGGGAGAGGGGCCTTGGGATCAGGCGCATGGCCCGCCTCCGTGGCCGGCCTCGACTTGCTAGATTTGCTCTTCTTCGAGGCACTCCGTTGCTGCTCTTCCCTGAACGCAATAATCTCCCGCTCACGGTCATCCTCTTCACGCGTCCGGCGCCGGCCTCGCGACTCCGGGCCTACGTGCTCGACCTCCAGGATGTCGTCGTAGTCGGACTCGGAGTCCTCGTCCTCTGGCGGCGCCGAGCTCTTCCGGGCTTGCTGGTTCAGCTGTAACGGGGCCGGCGGCGCTTTCCGCAGTGGGACCGGGAACTTGCTGAGACCCTCCTCGGGCTGCGGCGTCGGCTCCATGATGGTGACGAGCGGAGGGGATGAAGGCGGCTTCGGCGGAGGCACGCTCGGTGGGTCGCTCGGGAGGCTGCGCGACGGCGGCAGCGAGACGTTGTATGGTATCTCGCGAAGGGACTCCTCCTGCCTGCCCTTGCGCTCCTGGTCGGCAGCCCTCTCGTCGGCCTCGTGATCGAACTTGCCGAGCGCATGTTCGTGAGGCTTAGGCATGGTGTGTTTAGGGTCGAGCATCTCGCCCACGGCGGAATGCGACGCGTGCTGCCGGTCCGCCGGCGGTGTGATCGGGTACGGCGCCATTGTGAGATCGATGGGGGAATTCTTCTGGCTATCCGAGTCGAGGCTCGGCGAGTCAGGTTCGCGGGTCGGCAGGTCGACGTCGACGCGCGGGCCAGCCGGGCCCCGACGACCAGTCGGCTCCGGCTCCGGCTCCCCTCGCGGGCCACCCGCAGCTTTCATAACCGCAGGGTTGGCCATCAGCTCCTTGAGCTTCTTCCTGTATCTCTCCTTGTCCTTGAGGGCAGCCTCGAGGTCCTTGTTCAGGCCGAGAATCATGGCCCGCTGTTTGTCTACCAGCCGCCATAACTGCGAGTTTTGCTGTGCCTGTGATTGCTTCTCCTTCAGAAGGTGCTCAATGACAGCCTCGGGGCTGCCCGCGGCCTTGATGAGACCAGCAACATCGACTGGCTTGGACTGGCTGCTGCTGCCCTTGCTCAACGACAGGGTAGACGAGGCAGTGGAAATGGTGGTGTCGATGGAGGCATTCCGAGGCGGACCTTTGGGCACCTCGCCCGAGGCCGCCATGGCGGGCGCTGCCATCGGTGGTTTAGGCGCCGCCTTCGGGGGCGGACGGCCCTGCGAGGGCGTCGGTCTGGAGGCTACAGGGTCGGAGACGCTTCGGGTATCATTCGTGACGCTTGGAAAGTTCAACCTGCGGAGCATGAGGCGTGAGACAGCTTGTTCGGGCAATGAAAGAGGGCTCGAGCTACGGCAGCAAAGAGCAACGCGAGCTTTGCAAAACGAACCTGGGTATTTCCTCGTCCGGCGTCGACGGGCTGGACGAGTCGCTGTAGAAGGCCGTGTGGCCCACAGGTTCCTGTGACGGCGCCGTCCTCTCAGGTGGGCGCTGTCCAATGGGCGACGGCAGGCCCTGGCTGGACGGGGATGCAGGATGTCGAGGACTCGTGCGCGACGGAGACGGCGCCACGTTGCTCGCGGTAGATAATGGGCTTGGGATCGGTGGTCGAGGAGATCTGGAGAGACGGCGAGGCGTGTCAGCCCAAGGCAGCAGAAGAGGGAAGGCTAGCTAGCAAGTCGAGGTCGCACGACAGTGACATGCGCGCGGGCACAGACGGGCGAGCGAGAGTGAAACCAGGGTCCTCAGTGCTCCTCTCCGTTCAGCGACAGCCACAGCGACAGCGACAGGGGGCAGCGGCGGGCGGTCCAAGACGACCCTGGCGGCAGCAGCACACGGACCACCGGCAGTTTGGCTGCCAGTTCCGCGAGAGGAGGACGTGTGGAAGCGAGAACAGACAATGGGGTCGAGCGACGGCTCCGTGATGAATAGGGACTGGGGGAAATTCGAAGGGGGAGCCGGCGCAATAAGGGAGAAGGCAGATCGCGCCGCGGCAGACAGCAGCGGCACAGACAGACGTGATGACGCCAGGCGCTCGTGAATCACGGTCCATGGCCCCCCCGTCCACCCATCCGCTCATTAAAGACACGATGCTCGCCAACACAAGCGGGCGTGGGGTTGCGACTCACCTTGGGGATGCGGGATGAGGATGCGGCAGCGAGCCCAGGGATGACAGCGACGGCACGGCTATGAGGCGGCCGACGGTGGGACTGTCGTCGACGGGCTGCTGCGGGCGAGGAGTCGAGCGCGGCGGAGAGGTGTAGGAGGAGTAGGACGAGACGGACGAGGGAGAAGCAGGTTGTTGTTGCGCGGTGGTGGGCGAGGAAGGGACATGGCCTGCGTCGGCGACAACCCCAGAAACGGCGGCAACGGCGTTTTCGGCAGCGGCAGGACGAAGGCCCGGGCTGGAGGCGGCCGAGGAGGAGGCGGCGGCGGCGTCCCTGTCGGCGTCGTCGCGGTTGTATAAAGGCGCCGGCCGCTGCAGCACCTCTTCCTGGAACTGCTGCTGGAACTGCTGGTGATGGTTAGGAGGGGCCTTGCGCAGGCGCTGGCGGCTCCGGGGGTCGCGCTGCGACATGGTCCCGGTGTGCCTGGCAATGCGTTATGCGCAGCGGCGGCGGCGGCAAAGAGATTCAATGCTGCCCTGGATGGGTGGAGCGCAGTGGGCTCTCTCCAGACTGAGGTGCCCAGCGTCCAGGGCTGGCCGTCGTGTGCCGTCGGGCCTGTGCGGCGGGCGCGGATAGCGAGGCTGGCAGCCGGGGACGTGCGTCGACGGGTGCTGGCGCTGGTGGTGGTGGTGGTCGTGCAGCTGCAGCGGCGGCGGCGGCGACAGGGGGGGAGGGCAGGCGGGTTCGGTTCGTGGGTGCAGCTGCCAACGGGAGGGTCCAGACCACCAACTGGAAGCCAAGGTCACCACCTCGGTCAGCCAAGGCGCTCTGCCGGACAATAATCGTCCCTGTCGTCGTCGTCGTCGGCGTCGGTCTCGTCGCGGCGGCGCGTGGTGGGCGAGGAGGGCGTCTCGAGACGTCGCGCGTGCGCTGCTAGCCAGGTATGCGCCAGTATCTCCCGTTCGTGTGCTCCGTCGACAGTGACCCTGGATCTGTCTCGATGCCAATTCCGATGCTGATCCACGTCGCAAAGTACGAAGTACCTCGTACGTGCGGCGCCGCAGGGGGGGGATGGGGGGGTTCGAGGGGCGAAGAAGGGCCCCTGGGGTGCGGCGCGATGCGGTACCTACGATGCGGTACGCCGAGGTGCAGCGATGCGCGCGCAGGAGGTGCTGTAACAGCGCGACTCACCGGCAGAATGTGGAGAGGAGGCTGCCGCGAATAGAGAGCAGGGCAGGGTCAGGCAGGGCCCCCGAGATTGAGAGGCGGCAGAAAGCCTGATGCGCGTGTCTTGTGTCTCGTTTCTGCTACGCCGGCGGGGAATCAGGAAACCCCCTTTCCTG